ACCACACGGACGTGCCGAGTGATGTCCGCCGGCTTCTCAGCCAGCAGCCTGTGCAGGGTCTGGGGGTCGAGGGCCTAGGGGTTCGGATCCCTAAACCCTAAACCCTAAACCCTCAACCCTAAACGTGAAGTCTTTGGGGTTCGGGCTTGGCGCTGGGTGTGATCGGTTTCACAACTTTATGGTCCTCAGCATCGCCCGGGTGAGAACTCGTCGCTCGAAGCCCTCACCGTGGTTGCACTCGACACATATTGGCTTCAAAAGCCCAATACTGTCTTCCTGGCTAAAGCAGTGCCAGAATCTGCAGTTGTAGCCTCAGAAGCCAATATGTGTCGAGTGCAACCACGGTGAGGGCTTCGAGCGACGAGTTGTCTCCCGGGCGATGCTGAGGACCATAAAGTTGCGAAACCGATCACACCCAGCACATGATTTCGATTGTCTTCACTTTAGCCCCGAATCCCTAAAGGCTACAAAGCAGCTGGCTTATAACCCGAAAGGTTAGAGCTTAACAGCCCTGGAACATATAAATTTCCACCAAGTTGCGCTCCCGGTAGCTCTCCAACAAGAGCTCTTCCATGGCCTGAGCGGCAGTTCTTTCTGAGTTGCATTTATGAGGTTTTAGGGTTTAGGGCTTTAGGGTTTAATTAGCTTCTTTATTTTGGGGGGATCGGTTTCTGAGGGTTTAGGGTTTCAGCCTAGCGACATGCATCTTCGGTCGTATGAAGAACCTGAGCGCGCCCTGCTTCCAGAACTCGTAGGCGCACTGCCGGTACAGCTTCAGGAAGAAAAGACCTCGCAAAATTATCACAGTATTAAACCATAAACCCTAAACCCTAAACCCTAAACCCTAAACCCTAAGGCCTATTGCCTGGCTAGCTAGGATTAGGGATTAGGGTTTAGGGTTTATTTAGTAGATCTTGGGCACCGTGCACGTACTGATCCAGCGCTTCCTCTTCGGTAAGATACCTGGGCAGCTTCTCCATCTTCAGCTGCCACGAAGCCAGCTCGTACCTAGATACTGTTGACGGACAAAATCCTGCATGACCATATAATTTATTATACCTATAAATTTTGGGATTTATGGTACTATACTATATTTGCGTCATGCAGAATTTTGTCCATCAAATAAAAGTACTATATATAGCTTGTCGGAGGTTTCGGGAGCAGGGTCTTGCGTCGTATAATGGTATATTAATCAGCAGAGATGCACAGTACTCACCACAAGGTGTGACACGTGCTGCCGGCGCTCGTAGTCCTCGGCAGTTTCGGTCGGCCGCCTGGCTCTCAGAATTGTCTGAGTGCTTGTACATGTCAGTGCTTCCTGGGATACAGAGCTTGAAAACCCATCAGTTTCGTTCAGAGTTTTTGACTTCGACAGCGATATACCGATATACTTTGAGCAGCTGAGAAACTGCCAGCCAAGCTAGCACAACTCTACAATTGTAGGCTTTGGCCCCCAGGTACGGGTAGTCCGGAGGCTTGACATTCAGATGCAGCATATTCGGAGTAAACTTCCTCATAGAAGTACTGATTCTTGATCGGGAGCACCACTGCTTAAAGGTGTTGTAGCAGTCATGCAGCAGCCGCTGCATATCAGCGTTTGGAGCCGATGAGAAAACTTGATGCTCACAAAGCCATAACAGCCCCTCTGCTGTTAAATTTTGCATGATTCCTAAATTGCTTGTGTGCATCGCACATCCACGCCTCAGGACAATCACAGCTATACCTTTAAGGGTTTAGGGGTTTAGTTCGCAACTGGCCGGGTTTAGGGTTCATAATAATATTATTTAATTCGGGATATAAGGATTCTCAGGGCGGGGTACAGGCATGGGGTACATAGCTTAATACTAAGGCGGGATTAAAAAAAATGTGACAAAGCTTCAAGATGCACAGTGGATATATGCCATCCTGGCACCAACGTGAGGGGGTTCGGTTCCGCAGGCATCGTCTGCAGGAGGGCCTGTACGTTGGTCAAGTGTTGCCAATCCGCTCCGAAGTTTGTGTAAAGGATCCCATGCGGCCTGCACCGATACGACATACTCCTAGGGGGCCCGCTGCTTATAGGGTCTAGGGCTTAGGATTTAGGGGAACAGATACTTGATATATGATAACCCAATTGCATCGAGCCTTGTCTTCCGAAGAGCATTGCACTTGTGGCATACCCGGATGGCCCGCCAGTTTCTCGTGAACTGAAAGCACTGATCCTGATACGCCCAATCGCCCTTGAACTCTGTAGTCGCAAATGACCGACTCAAGTTTGGACATTCGGCTTGTAGACGACGCTCCTGCGAGGTCAGCTCATCTGGTGATTCATTCGGTCCGCGGCTTGGCCGCCGAGCGAAGAAAGCACAGCTTAGTGACCATGCAGCACGATGGTACGCGGGACGCAGGGTCTCCTGTTTGGTGTGTATAGGCCCCTAAAACCCTAAACCCTACACCCTGCTAAATCCTAACCCTTAAACCCTAATTAATCCCGAACCCCTAACCCCTAACCCTTAACCCTAACCCTGACCCCTATACACCCTTAAACCCTTAAACCCTAGCCCCTAAACCCTAACCCTAAATACCCTTAAACCCTAACCCCTAAACCCTATAGCGCTTTATATCTTGCGCCTAAAAACTGTGGATTTGGCCTGGCCAGCAGATCGTAGCGAGTTGACCACGAAGTAGGTAAAGTTCTTCGTCCAAGGCTGTCCTGGCATACTGCTAACTACATATGTATATACATGATCACAGATTTCTTTCAGATTAGCGGTCATCGTGGATTTGGAATCTCTCTCTCTCTTCTCCTCTCGCTCTCGCTCTCTCTCTATAAAGATCCCTCCCTCCAGCTCCCTGTCTGTCTATCCGTCCGTTTTTCGCTCTCTCTCGCTCCATCCCTGTCCTTAGAAACCTTCGTCGTCCTAGCTATCTCTCTCTCTCTCTCGAGCTCTCCTGTCTGCAGGATCATGACTCTCCGGCCTTTGATTTTGTGCAAGGGGAAGGAAAACATCAGGGCGGTAAACTTATCCCCCTCGCTGGAGAACTCGGCTTCGTCGCCATAAACCTCGGGAAGTCGTTTGACAAAGTAATTGATAAGATGTAGAACTGCATGATTGTAATGATATATCCGAGGCGGGCGGCGGCCACTGGCACGGCATCGTTTGAGGCGGGGTGCTGAATTGCCCAATCCACCGACAATCGCCGAAAGTGATTCCAGTATTCCCTGCAGTATCAGCATTCCAAGACTGAAGTCATCAGTACATGTACGTGCATCTATCACTAGAATTATATGATGAATTATCTGAGGCACTGGATACTGTCGTCGCTGATAGTGATGTGCTGGGATCGCCAAAGAAAGTCCATATATTCATGCGGATCGATGAAAGGCAACTTCTTTGTCACCCTCAAGTCGTCATTCTCTGGGTCCAGCATCGGCACTGTGATCCATGCCAATGCCTTAGTAGCTGGTAGTCAAAGTATATAGTCATGTGTGCCATGTGCTGACCATGCAGGATGATAGACACCTGCATCTGCAGCTTACAGCCGCGGCCCTATCCGGAGATTTCTAGGTTCTAGGTCTAGGGGGTGGTCATTCTGATCAATTCCGAGTTACCACAGGCAGCTTCACGAATCTAAAGAGGTCACGATCATGATTCCGGTGGTCGTTTGCAAAACTTGCCAATGCTCTTGTGATGCCACCTGTTGACCCAGCTCCACACTCCTGCCGTACTTTTTACATTATAAGGATAATACCTCCAAGCTAATTTAACCCTTTGAGGTTTAGGGATACATGTATATATATATATATTTGTTTTTGAACCTGATGTATATGTGTAGACAGCTAGCTAAGGGTTTAGGGTCTATAGAGGGTTTAGGGTCTAAGGTTTTTTGGGCTGTGGGATCGGGGTTAGGGCTTAGGGGTTTTAGGGTCTAAGTTTAGGGGCTGTGGGGTTAGGGTTTAGGAGTTAGGGCTTAGGGGTTATAGGGTCTAAGGTTTAGGGGCTTTGATTTCTTGCGGGGACTACGTAGGGTCTAGGTTTAGAGGCTGTGGGGTTAGGGTTTAGGGGCCGGTTTTTTTTTTATTGGCTTGGGGGTTTAGCCTTAATCTTGGAGCCTTAAGGGGTTTAGGGTCTAGGTTTAGGGGTTGTGGGTTACGGTTTAGGACTTACGGCTTAGGGGCTTTAGGGTCTAAGGTTTAGGGGCTGTGGGGTTAGGGTTTAGGAGATAGGGCTTAGGGGTTTTAGGGTCTAAGGTTTAGGGGCTTTGGGGTTCAGGGCAATCTCCCTTAGGGGCTTAAGGGGTTTAGGGTCTAAGGCTTAGGGGCTGTGGGGTTCGGGTTTAGGAGTTGGGGCTTAGGGGTTTTACGGTCTAAAGTTTGGGGGCTTTGGGACTTAGGGCAATCTTTATTTATTGAATGGTTTTGCAGTCCTGGACAGCCGCGGCTGCACTGGTGATAACCCCCTTGGAGTTGTCCTTCCCCTCGCCCAAAGATTTCAACCTCGGGACCACAGAAACCTTAAATTATTGTAATGTACTAGCTAGGAGTATCATGAGGCCAGAACATGTGAACTGCCAGAGCATGTTCTTCAGCAGAATCACCGGCATCATCTAGTTTGCGCTTCGTCCCTGCGCCAGGGAACCCCAATAGTACTAGTACTGACCAGCACTAGATAGTGAGCTTCTGACTGCATCAGGCGAGTACCTTTTGAGCGCCGGATCCCAGGAGGCACGACAAGATTTCGTTTCGGTCGCATGTGACATATCACACGCGAGCATCTAGGCCTAGTGGATTTGCATGATCACACATGCCAGCGCTGTCGCCGATCGTACGCCCTCCCGCCTCTAAGCTCAGGGGATCGATTCTATTGTTACACTATTATGTAGAACATCGAAGCTTAAGGCCCAGCGTAGCTACCCCTTGGCAGAGCTAAGCAGGAAGGATATGTACAAAGGCATGACAGCCGCCATCAAAAACTGAACATCTAGCTAGATGTTCCCCGGTTCCCTCGCTGGGATTCTCGCTACTTCTGTGGCTTCTTCGCAGCCTTTTTAGCACTGGTTTTCGGCTTTGCATCCTTAGAGGATTTCCGCTCAGCAGATCGGACAGGCTCCGAGACAGCTTTGAAGTCTTGGAGGGCAGCAAGCAACGCCTCGCAAGGGAGTAGGGCTTGACCGGTACACGTTTAAGGGTCTATAAGGTTTGGGTTATTAGGGTATACGTAGTACTCGATTCGAATGCAACCCCTGTACCTCTACCAGAGGCTTGATCTTGTCCTCGGACATTTTCGTGCCAATGCCTGTTGCCACAGCGTCCTTGCATTTCCGCAGAACTGCAGCGGCAGGTGCAATGTCGTCGAGGATCGCCTTCTTCATGTTGGCAGCCCTGAGATCGCAGGATTTTAGGGTGGATTCTGTATAGGGGTTTTAAGCTTGAGGTTCAGAGCAGCTCAGATATCGACGAGCCCAAAGGGACTCTAGGGCTAAGGTATAAATTAGTTTAGGGCTATTTCAGGGTTTGGGGTGGTCCTTGGGATGATAAACCCTGGCACCCCGAACTTCTCCAGGGAGGTGCATGATATTCTAGAATGAATGACTGGAACATGCCGAGTTGATTGCATTCATTGCAGAGTGCTCTTGCAAGGCACCATTTTGGATCCTTCGGGTTTAGGGCAGTTTAGGGTTGTAAGTTTTACCATATATATATATATATATTATACAGGGCTTCGGATTTCAGGTTTGCCGTGCGGTAACGGATCGCACCATTGGTACATAGTACGAAATGTGGGCCGGACACCTTCAGTCCGAAAGCAAAAAACTGCAATAAAGCACCGAAGCCAAAACTGCAATAAAGCCCCGGTTCATTGCACCCAGTAGTTCTAAGTGGACTCAAACACTCAACCTCAATGCCCATATGCATGATATAACTAGAGGCGCCCTTCGTCGTATAATTAATAATATGGCCATGGGTTCATGAACGGGTTCTGGGTCCTATGCGTGGCGAGCAACGTCTTGGCGTCATCCAGCACGCCTGCAAACCCCCGATACTCGACCAGGTCTTGGTTGGCCTTCTTGTCCGCCTCGAAGGAATCGACGGGGATGTGGGTTTGGGGTCTTTGGGGTTTGGGCTGCGCTTCGGGATTTCAGTTGGCCTCCACACTCAGCAGGATGTAGGGTTTAGGGTTGATTGCATGGTACTTAGGGATTGGGTTTATACGGCCATAGGATCTTTCGGGGTTGGGCTGGATCCGCCCGGGGTATTACCGTATTATTAATCTGCTGGTTCCAAAATTTATAAAGGAGGTTTTAGGGTTTAGGGTTGCATAGCTGTGGGGATAGGATTTTCTATCTTTTTATCGAATGTATTTACGGGTGCTAATTTATCATTATATCACATTATAATATAAATTATAAGATCGAGGCACAGCAGCGCCCTTGTCTCGCCAACTCTTCTCCTTTTTGGGCTGGGGGTCTTTCTTTGTCTTCGGCGGTTTGTGGTCGCCGGCGCCATCCTCCCCGTCGTCACTCGGCAATGCGTCATCCCTTAGCCGGCTCTGCGAAACTAGCTATATATGCATGTGTATATGTACACTATGTAGCATATAAACAATGGGACCTGCTAGACTAGTGCCTGCAAATTGCAATGCATTCATCAAGTCATCTTCATCGACATTGTCGGCTTGCATGTCGATCTCAGCCATTGTCTCCTTCTCGTCCCTCTTCTTGTCTTTGATGTAGGCAAAGGACTTGAAGAGCTGCATGTCCTGAAAGGGATCGGGATTGTAGTCGGGGGGTTCGAAGTTCGAGGCCCGAAACCTAGAAGTGCACAACGTATCTATATGTATATAACACCCTCCTCGCGCTTCGGGAACTGCGGATGAAGACGGCAGGCTTTGCCACTAAACGTAGGATCTGCTTCACGTGCACGTTTGGCCAGGTCGTCGGCCAACTCTTGGCCTAGTTCTTTCACTAGGTCCTTGTATGTTTTCCACAAATAGACGACGTCCTTGATACCCTTCTGGCTTTTCCTGTCATGGCCAA